GGTTAAGGTCTAACATAGACCTAGTTGGGTCGGGTCTAGGTTAGGTTTGACCAGGACCCAACCCGACCTATTCCCACCCTTACTACCAATTAGGGCTAGCAATAGGTTGGGTCAGCCTTGGTCCTAGCCCGACCCTGGTCCATATAGTGTTAGGTCGAGCTTGGCCTTTTCAGGCCTAATAGATCTAGAAAAGAAAAGAAAAAGAAAGGGAAAGAAAGGATTAGACTGGCTTGTCCCGAGCCTAGAAGATGTAGAGGAAAAAAAAGAAAAAAAATAAGGGAAAGAGTTAGGCGAGGCTAGCCCTGTCAGTCCCAGCTCAATCTTCAAGCTGAGGCCCAAGCACAACCCTAGCAATAAACTATAGTTGTATCCTACAATTAACTGCCATTCCTATAGTTGTTTTTATAGTTAAAAATTTCGAAAGAAGAAAAATAGAGAAAAAAAATCCATTTTTTTTTTTTTGAGAAATTTCATAAAATGAAATTAACTATTGAACATTTGACCCATATATTTTGATTTATTATCAAAATATTTACAAAAGGACCAATGACTATGAGTTGTGTAATAGTTGAAAAAAGGATAAATTGTTAAAAAAAAATTAGATATCAATTTCCTTTTTTCTTTCCCCTTTCAATTGCATGAGTCAATGGTAAAAAAAAGGTTTATACTTTATAGGGATGTGTACTAGGAGCCCATTTACTTTTTGTAGAAAGAGGTCATAATCATTCTTAGCCATTAGATGTAATATTTAATAGATTGAAGTGTATCAAATCCGATAAATTTATTTTTAGACATTGTGCCTAATCAATGACACCTTCTCAACCTCCCAATTTCACATCTAATGATCAATGTTAGTTGTGACCTCCTTGTACAAAAAATAAACGATATCATTATATACATTTCCTTAAAATAAAGCCTTTTTCAAATCCTAGGAAAACACTTTCGACAATGAAAATCTCCATAATGGCTCTACAATCAATTTACATCACCAACAATAAAATTTGAAACTCAAAAAAGGTGCAGATCGTGTGGAACTTTGAACACTTTTTTTTAGGACAAAATGATCGGTTAAGATAATTTGTTGTAATATACACTATTTTGAGAGTTTGAAATCCTGAATTTTTCATAACCATGACATTTAAGCGGGGATCAATGATGTAAAAGTTTTCCAATGCTTAAATTGCAATATTCGATGATGAGTTAAGGGATGGGACTTTACTTATTTGAATAGGGCTGCAGCCCTATCAACTAATTCCCTTTCTCAGACTCGGAATCGCCTTCCGCACGTGGTAACGCAGATGGGTCCTGACTGTCAGACTGAGAGAATGGCAGGAGTTGATCGGCCATAAGGAGAGGTGCGAGATTGAGCTCAACATTATTTGGACTTTTGAGAAAGAAAGAGAAAGAGACCAATCAGTAGAGAAGAGAACTGATAACTGAAGTGAGAATTTCACAGAGGCCAAAACTCCTCTCAATCTCAATTACCATTAAAAGTTTGAACATTCAAAAAAATTTACCATTAAAAGTTCGAAACAAGATAAGAATAACCTATTTTCTCTTTGTTTAAGACTTTGATTAGGCAAAATTTAGGAACATGATCAACATTCAACAATGCTTGTGACCAGCTAAATTTTCTTAAATTAAAGCGGGTTCGCTTGTTTTAAGGGGGGTAAAAAGAAGAAAAACTTTGTTTAGTTTAGCTAAAAGGTCCCATACAGAGTGACTTTCAGGAGAAATGGCCTGCTCTGGTTCTGTACCCCCTAACTCTTCTACCTTGCCTTACCTCAAGTCCTTGTTAGAAGAGGACTGTCACACTAAACACCCATTTCTCCAAGAAAACACAAAGGGCATAACCTAGAATTTTAGGCATATCACCCCACAATTAGGCCCTTTGGGCTCTCTTCCAATCTTGCTGGTTCTAATGCTCAAACCAATGAAACCTGCAATTTTGCTGATGTGGGTTCTACCCCAAAAGCAGAAAGCCGCAACTTTAGTGATGCACATTATGCTCAAACCCATGAAACCAGCAACTTTAGTAGTGTGGGTTATGCCCAAACCCATGAAACCAGCAACTGTAGTAATGTGGTTTATGGCCAAACCCATGAAATCTGCAACTTTTACGATGTGGGTTCTGTTCAAACTCATGAAACCAGCACTTTAGTAGTGTGGGCTATGCCCAAACCCATGAAACCAGCAACTGTAGTAATGGCCAAACCCATGAAATCTGCAACTTTTACGATATAAGTTCTGTTCAAACTCATGAAACCTGCAACTTCAACGATGTCAATTCTGTTTCAACTCATGAAATCTACAACTTCGACGATGTGAGTTCCATTCACACTCATGGAATCTGCAATTTTATCCATGTGGATTATACTGAAAACCATCACATATGCAACTGTACTAGTGTGGGTCTTCACAATATGGGTCTAACCGGGGAGGAAGAGAACCAGTTTAATGGGGGTTGTTCTGAGCTAGTTACTGGGGGCGAAGATACAAAGGTCGGGGGAATGGGTTCTGGCTAGATTATGGTGGCTGTTAAGAAGAGAAGTGGGCTGCCTGCTAAGAATCTCATGGCGGAAAGGCGGAGGAGGGAGAAGCTAAGTGATCGGCTTCTCCTGCTTTGATCTATTGTGCCCAAAATTAGCAAGGTAAGTTTTTTCGGTTTCTTTAGTCATGATTTTGTTCTTCTTTACTGCTACTATTACTCTTGTTTGCCATTGTTGTCATTGCTGGTCTTGCCCCCGAACCATACGAGTGACTTTTGTAGATTGTAATTGGTGTTTGGAACTACTGTTAAATGTGTGGTTATCTCTTTAGGTGTTTCTCTAATAATTAGGATATTGACTAAAAAAGAGGGATACAAGAAGGGGGAAGGGGCGTTTTCATCATCATCGTCAAAGCCTTTTCCCAACTAATTGGGATGGGCTACACAAATCCTGGTCGGCTGCTATAATTCGCATTTTGAGATATCATATTTGGCATTGAATCTATTTTGAGGATCACTTTTGCGAATTGTTTACTTTTTCCTTCTGATATTTTCTTTCATGGTTACGAGAGGGACGGTGAGATTTTTGTTTTCCGCTGCTGTAAGTTTTCGATGCATGCTGAATATTGGTCTTTTTTATAAATTATTGTTTGAGAAGGCCATATATTATTAATTGCAAGCATGGGCTTGAATGAGAGATGTTGCTAACTTTAGTATTCTTCCCCTATGCTTTGACATTAACTGCTGGATTATCAATTATGGTTTTGAAACTATTGCGATGGCGGTTATAATTGTGCAATTTCAGTCTCAGACGTTTGTGATATTCTTCTTGGAATGTGATATTTGAGAAGGCGCTACATGCTTCATGCTTCAGTCCATGAATGAGTTTGTTTGGTGATATTTATGGTTTCTATAAGTAGGGAGATTATTTGATGCAATAATGCATGAACCAGAGCCAAAGGCTAGTTGTATGGAGCTCTTCCACTTTGAGTCTATCTTGGTATTTGACTTTCAGATTGCTTCTTGGGGCAAAGAATAAAAAATGGAAAGAAAAAAAAGAAGAAAGAAAAGAGGAAGAGTTCTATTCACTCTCATTTCTGGGGTCTTAATTCCGTATGATGTCTGAGGAGAATGACTTAGCCGTCCTTTATGGGATTTGTATTAGTTGGAGGATAGAAGATTGTCTGCCTTCTGTATGTAGATGAAATTTTCTCATTCTGCATTGCTGATCTCAATCAAGCCAAGACCTTGAAGATGATTCTTCTTTCTCAATCAAGCCAAGACCTTGAAGATGATTCTTCTTTGTCATGAATTATTATGTAGGACGAGAATCAACATGAGTAAGATCACTGCCAATGCTGTGGGTTGTCAACATGTTATGACTCAAGAGCAGACGAGTTTCCAAGTATAACGGGATTTAAGCTGGAGTTGCTTCCTCGTAAATATCTTGGGCTTCCACTTTTATTAACAGTTCAGGAAGTGCCTTGGTGACTTAGTGATACGAAAATTTGAGAAGCAAGAACTGTAGATTGGAAGAGAGCTGAACCTTATTAATGCTACTATTTGTGACTTTAGAGCTTAATATGTGTCTCTCAATTGGACATGTTTTCAGGGCCCTCTGTGACATTCCTGACATCATGTGTCACTTAACCAGATTATTGTAGGAGTAGCTAAAAAAAGTGGGAAGGACTTGGAAGGAGTTCCTATGGTGAGGAGGCAGTATAACCAACAATTTCATTGGTGGGACCGAGTAAGTAGACCTAAATGCCATGATGGTTTGGGTCTTGGGGATGATTTATTGAGAAATGAACAATGCTATGGCATTGTTTATCTCATGGAAGAGCGTGGTGTTCTCTAGGCTAGTGCAGCGGAGAAGAAAAATGGACGTGATAGAAATACTTAGGGAAAAGAGATTAAAGCGGATATAATTGAAATACTGAGGCATGTAGAGGGATCTGCTGCTCTATTAGAGCTGAGCTTCCTACAAGGTTAGGCTTAGGATCAAGGCTAGGAGTAGACTTAGCTTCTGGTTTGGCGTCTGATGTGGAGCAAAGGCTCTAATTATATTCTCTATGCATCTGAATGCCCGTTGGGCACTCACTCCTGTTTTATGTTTTGGAAGGTAGAACAAAGGAATCAACTCCTTTTGCATTGGCCCTATTCTTAATCAAACAATCTCACTGTGTTTGCCATCTATAGATTCTCTTCAGTTTTGGTTTCTTTACCTTATTTTCCCAAGAAGGCTGTTATGTTGCTGCTTTGATATTTCATATTCTTTCCAAGTTTCTGGTTTAAAGTAAATTGTGTTTCTTTGATAGTAATTCTGATGCTTCTACCTTTTCTTTATTTATGCGTGATTGGCTATCTGTACCAGTCATTTTCCAGTGCCCTCCTTAATAGCGTATTAGAGTGAAATGTATGCTCTAGCCAGGATATCTATTGCTTTGATTGAGCTCAGATGTTGGCATTTTCAAGTGTGCATTTGAGTTAAAAAAGTATGGGTATTGATATCAATATGGTCAGTGCGACAAAATAGTGTCTTTTTAATTTCATGACTGTTTTCCAAAATTTACCATTTGTAAATAAAAAAGTGTTTTTCTGATAACTACATAGCCTATAGTTGCGGATGTATCAGGATAAAGGAGCATTGGTGTATGGTATAATATCTGAAAGTCTTTGTACTGATGGAAAAGAAAATCAGAAATGAGTCTTTATTAGTTAAATCAGTACCAAGTATTAATTACTGACATAAAGCAGATCATATGATGCAATTACATCATGTTCCATGTTATGCTTGCCCAAACAATGAATGTTCTATGTTATTGTTACTTCAATCATGACATGCTTGATAAAGGATAACCCATTCGTCTCATCTTTTGAAGCTTGATAACTTTTCTGGACAGATGGATAGGACATCGATTTTGCAAGATGCAGTCAGTTACATGATGGAATTGCTGCAACGGGTAATTGATCTTCATAAGGAGCATATTTCTTAATTGGGAAGGACAAATCCCGTTCGTTCTTTAGCTTTGCCAACTCTTTCAACCTGTTTGCCCACATTAACCGCTGGAGTAAAAGTAAAGGAAGAATGTCCCTCTCTCTCTCCAGATCCAGATATGGAGCCTGCGAGAGTATGTCAAGGAATGCCATGGTGAATTTATTAGTCAAAGTTTATAGAATCTGGAATAACTCAAACAAAACTAAAATGTAATAATTAAATCAATAATAGTTTACTTCTAATTATAAAAAGGAAAATGGTTTGATAGGGCTGCAGCCCTATCAAAATAAGTAATCCTCACTCCATAACTCATTGAAAATTACAAGTCAAGCATTGGAAAACCTGTATATCGATCATCTTGACTTGAACATTATGGTTGTAAAAAAAAATTTGGATTTCAAACTCTAAAAATAGTGTATATTATAACAAATTATCTATATCGTCCATTTTTCTTTAAAAATAATAGTTCACAGATCCGCAAGACCTGTACGATTTACTAAGTTTCAAATTTTCTTGTCGGTGTTGGAAATTGATTTTAGAGCCGTCATAGAGGTTTATGTCGTTGAGTATTTTTCTAGACGAGGATTTGAGACGAGGTTTTATTCCGTTTTCATAAGCCTAGGCCTTATAGAAACCTCATCCCTATAAAACAAAAAAAATCTATGTATAAAAATAATGAATTTATGTTTGTATTGTATTAATACTGGATAATGCTGGGTTCTTGTTTTTGATGAAGGTCGAGGTCGAGGAAAGAGAGGGAAGGAACCTGAATATTCGTATGTGTTGCCCAACTAGGCCTGGATTGCTCCTCTCCACGATGAGACATTTGGATGGGCTTGGGATTGACATAAAACAGGCCTTTATTAGTTGCTCGAATGAATTCTTCCTTGATGTTTTCCATGCAGAGGTAGTACTCCTCAACGAGAGAAGTTTTCATTATTTGGTTTCATCAAAAGTATTAAATTTTTGAACTGTTTCACTTTCCCCCCAGCCAATTGAAGGACGAGTTGCCCCTGAAGATATCAAGGCACTGCTTCTGCACAATGCGGGCTATCAAGCTACTGCATAAGTGTGCTAACACCGATGCATCAATAAGGTACAGAAATTCATACTTTGAAGTGGAATTATGAAATAGTCTAATCGACTATGTAAAACCACCATACTTCATTGAGGTCATCACTCTTGTCATCCAAAGAAATGATCGGACAGTGATGGCACCAAAACAGCATATGATCCTCACAGTGGTCATTTGATTGGAAAATAATGGCATTTCTGGACCATGGTTTTTGTTAGTCTGTTTGATATGCTTTCTGTACTTTTAATTCTTCATTGCATCTATGAGTGGTTCTCAATCCCCGTGATTTGTTGATTTGTATTCGTAGTGCTCATATACTTATTTGAGTTCTACAGTTTTCTCTAATCTATGATTCTAAGAAATCTCAAGGAGTCCAGGACCATTTAAGTGTATACTCAACACAAGGGCTGCACGTTTTGCTTGTCTCAGTTCAAGTTGATCTGATCTATTGTTTGTATTTAATTTATGCCTAGAGAACTAAAGTCAACACTTCAACAGTAGTAACCTTTTCTGTGATTTTATTATTTTCATTTTCTTGTCGACACTTTTTTTTGTTTAGAAACGGATTGAGTTTTTAATGTTGATTTTGTAGAACATGTTGTTGTACTCTGTTCTTAACATGTCTGGGCAGTGTTGCTATTGTAGCATATGATAGTTAATAAGACATGTTCCCTGTTGACCACAATATTGCAATGTATTCTTCAATGAATAACTGTTTTTGGGGTTGGTTGTCCAATTTTATCTTTAAAGAAACTCAAGGGTATGCTTATATTTTTGTATTTATCAATGTTATCTTGCCTCTGTTTTCTTTTTCGATCAAATTCTGGTTTCATACATGATCCCAGTGTTACAGACGAGTAACTCAACTATGCGCTATGTATGAGGCTGAGCTACCCAGAGTTGTCTACAAGAAAATAGCATATAAATGTATCATCTTACATTTGGATATAAATTTGGACCCATACCCGTACCCGTTGGGTCTTGGGTCTACCTCATCGGGTCTCGATCCATTGTCACCCTCACTATGAGCTTCTTTTTTTCTTTTTTTCTTTTTTTTGCCCCTTTCTTTACCATCATATACTCGTATTATTAGTAACAATATCACAATCACCCGCTATCAGCTTTAGGTTGTGTGATTTATCATTTAATAGCTAAAGATGACTACTAGTTCTAATTATATACGATCCTTAATACACCAAAATGAATAGTGCTTAAAGTAAAGTATTTTCTCTCTAAAAGTTTACGGGTATGGGTTGAGTCCGGACCCTTATAGTTTTCGGGTCCAAGTTTTAGACCCAGATTTGATCCATGTCGGGTATACCCGACGGGTTCCGGGTCGGGTCCGGTCCATTGCACCCCTATATGGTATTATCATGATAAATTGAGTTTATAACAATAATATAGGCCTCCTAGATTTTGTCTCGAAACAAATCATAGCATTTTGAAAATTAAATTAAAAAAAATAACTAAAAGATAGCTTTTTTAAATAGTAACATATTAGTTAACCTAGAAGTAGTCTGAAATCCTATAATTTTGTAGGCTATATTTTTGGAAGAACCTGAAAGACAGCTAAGAATTTAAGATTTCAAAAAAAGCAATCAATCGTATCCAAGAAATAGCATATAAATATATCATCTTAAATTTTACTTTTGGAATGAAACTCAAAATTTAGTTGTTGGAAATGCTTATAATCCCAAATCATTGTAGGAATCTGAATCATGGAATCATGGGTATCTGGATTATTCCTGTAGTTGGAATCGCCCATCTGTACAATGCATATTAGGTAAAGCAAGATTTTTACCATTTAGAAATTGTGCTATGATCGAACAGGAATCAAAATTCCTACGTTATTGGAATTGCGGTCTCATCAACTTCAAATTGAGATTCCTAACAAGTTTATATAAGGTGTCAATCTTATGCTATAGAAGTGAGGCACACCTCAAAAATCGATTGGAAAAAGTTATCGTGATACTGAAAAACCCTCCAATTGATCATCTCTACCTCAAAATGTATGAATATGAAAAGTAAAAAATATTTCAAGTCATAAAAATAGCGCATCTTATATTGCATTATTTAAATTATCTATTTTCAATATTTTCAAGTGCTTACAGATCTGATCAATTGACACAACTTTAGACCTTTAAATTTTATAATTAAGGGTACAAACAGACTTTTAGGCAATCATAATATTTTTCTGCACCGAAATTGCATTTTTCGCTAAAGTTTGGAGGTGCTCTTTTGATTGTTTAAGCTGATTGCCTCATATAAACTACACCTAATATAATTTGAATGTAAACTGCACCCAATATAATTTGAATATAACCCTAGTAGCATAATGTTCAAAATGAATACAACACTCTTGCCCATACTAAATGGTTGATAGTTGACGTTACTGAGGTACGGATCCTGTACCGAGGTACACTTTGGTACACTATATTTACTAGTGATATGTACGTGCGTTGCGTGAAATTAAATGTTAATTATAAAAATAATAATTTATTTTGAAATGATAATTTAAAAGGACATTTGATAAAAGAGAGAGAGCGAGCTTTCATCTTAATGTAATTGTAGAGAGAGAAGATGGATTTACTTTGCATGTCACATTTGATAGAAATAATTGACAAATAATATAGTGAAAAGCAATGATATCATGCAACCGTTGTATAGTAATATGATGTAATAACGTTAAAAATTTATATTATGGCCATTTGTTTGATCCAAATTTTGACATATGTACTCTTTTCATTTTGATGAACAATAAAAAAAAAAGAAAATTTGAAAACACAACTTAGAAGTATTTTTTTAGCCCAATTAACATAGGTCGTTCATTATGGTGAGATGCTTAGATCTAGACTTTAGAAGGATTTTTTCATTTCCAATTTTTTTGGATGGCTTTATTATCATTAGATGAACAATGTTAAAAAAGAAAAAAATGATTTTGAGTTTATAAAGGCTAAGATCTTGAAATTCACAAAATGACTGGTCTAAATTCGTTTTTGGAGGGGACTTATTTTGATCATATTTAGGCTTCAAATTGAACTTTTTTGTTTTGGGGATCGATTATTGAGATAAAAAGAGTGTTTGTGCAAAATTTGAGGTCACACAAATACCACAAACATGGTTTTCTAAAAGTTTCGTTGCATTATACTGTGATACAACGGTTGCATTGGATCATAGCTCTATAGTGAATAAAGAAATATGAATATCCCTCTCTTATTCTAATTTAAGACATTCTGTTTATTTATGTCTGGAAATAAATCTCAAATACTTCTTTATTTGTTATTATGTTTTTTTTTTCTCTTTTCAATCATATCATTCATTAAATTAGTTTTACTTATATTAATACATATATTATTTACTTATAAGTGAGTATTATTTTGGAAAATTAAAAAAAAAAAAATTAAAGGTGCAAAAAGAAAAATAATGAAGGATTTATCATATTCTTTTTTCTATTTAGCAAGATAAGTATTAACTTTTTACGTTTCAATTATCAATACATATACTATTTACTTATTAAGTAAATATTGTGCTAAAAATTACATAATATGAAAATACAAATACACGTTCTATACTACATATAATAAAATTATAATAATTAGATATCTATTGGAATCAAAGCTAATCAAAATGTCGGTATTTTTTTTTCTTTCATGGTAGTGACAATCTTTTTTTTTCAATTTAGTTTTGGATTTTGAAAACTATGAAAAGTACAGACAAAAAAATGAAAGGAGCAAAAAAAGAAAACATAATCAATAAAGAAAATTGGACAATGAGTATTTTTTTCATATACTAATTGTAGGAATACTACAATTTTTATTATTTTATTATACTAATGTACCTTGTATTTTGAGGTAGTTATTTCTTGAAAAATAATTTCAATTGTGTTATTACTTCTACAATTTTCATTTATAGTTAATTATTATTCTATTTTTTTTATATTTAAAATTACATCATCCACTAATTAAATAATTTTTAATTATATAGAAAATATAATCTTATATGTAAGTACCAAAAGAAAAATAGTGAAGGAATTATCTTTTCATTTTTTGTATTTACCACTATAAGTACTAACTTTTCCCTTTTCTTTTTTAAGGCAATAGTAAATGATTACCATATATAATTAGCATTTCTGGTAAATTATTTTCTTTTTTATTTTACATTTTCAAGTTATATATTGTAACCAACTCCAAAATTCTTTGTAAATATATTAGCAAATATATTATGTAATTCTAAGTATATATTATTCTAGAAAATTATAAAAATAAAAATACAAAATATGTCACATAAACTTCAAATACAATTAAAAATTTTATTTATAAAATATATTTACTACTAATTATTAATTGTCTTTCTTTCTCTATCTCTTGAGAGAGAGACAGAGAGAGAGAGAGATATTGGGAGAGATAGCATACTTTGGAGAAATATCCAAAATCTAAAAAATACATAACATTTAATGGTACTAAACTAGGATAGGAATGCAAACCGGGAGAAAAAAATCTAAAAAATATGAAAGCATATAAGACAAAGAGAGAGTACACGGAAATAAGGAGAAAAACTTGTGGAGCCATATATCATACTAAAAAAGAAATATAAATTCAATCTAAAAAGTAGGGAAGCAGTTAAGATAGTGAGAAAAAGTATATCAAAATTCTGATAGCTTGAAAATTCAATCACCGAATGCCGGTACAAATTTTAGGGAAATTATGGTAATTTTATCCTGCAAAATATTTTTTATTATTTTTATCTTGTGCGCCTCTGTTAGATGTATGCATACCCTAAATTTTGCTACAAATTATTTATACAACAAAACTTTAAAATGAAACACTCTAAGCCATCAGATCAAGATCTGACACTCAAGAGCTTGCTCTCTTAAATCGGATGGTTGAGAGCAATGGTCATGTATACTTTATATGTAGGTGGGGTCATATATAAAGTTTCCCTTTAATACCATGGAAAAAGAGTAAGAGTGCATGAAAATGGGGAGAAAATATAATTAGAAAGATAGCATATTAATATCTCATGGAAGTTGGGAAGCATCTTGAGGAGAGAAAGAGAGTATATTAAGAAAAAAATCCAAAATTAATCTAAAATACAATGTTTAGGAGTAAATCTAATTTTTTATTACATGAATATTTTCAGTAATTAAATTTATTTTTTATTTTTTATAGTCATATAATATTTGTACGGTTCGTACTTTATATTTTTGTAAAACAGTAACTTAATATTTCAATAATATAATAATTTATAAAAATCTAAAAAAAAAATCGTAAACCAAGTTTGAGAATCAAAATGAATGAAATGACAATATTAATTTCATGCAAACATTTAAAGTTTTTTAAAAATAGAGAAATCAAAAACTCTA